CAGTTTTAACTTCCTTTAGCTTTTGAAGTTGATTCTTGACCTGTGACTGTGAGTTTTTAATTTTCTGATGATTTTTATTGATTTTCTTTTCGTAATTTGTTTATTCTTTTGAATGTATCTTGTTTTTCCTGGACCTCTATGCAAAACCATAGGGGTACTGAGGGAGATATTTTAAGCTTTTGCTTCTCCCTCAAATAGAAATGGTTTTGTTTTTAATGCCTACCGGGGCCGGTACCCCCTGAAGACGTCGGCTTCGGTGGTCATATTTTTATTTTATTTCATTTGTTTTGTATCGTTGAATAGAACTAGTTATCCTTCTACGACTGCAGATTCTTCTACAATTAACGTCGCAGGTTACGAAGTTTAACTTCTTCCGCGCGGAGGGACTTCACGCACTACTTTTTTTACGAGTTACTAAGCATCAAAATGGGTCCTGGACTTTATAAACACCCTGTATATCAGTACATAAAGTGAGGAAAAGAAAGAGACCGAATCGAAAATAATTTAATCTAGCAATAATCGCAAAACTTCTGGAAAAATAGAAAACAAAACACAAATAGCAATATACACGAACATATAAGGCTAGAAAGCAGAACAAATGAAATGCACTTAGCATTATCTTGCAAAAAAGGTTTAGAAATAATTCGTAACTATGCTGCCAGATTTCAAAATATTAAATTATGCGTCCCTTAAATTAATACATCCCACTACTCTCTATCTTCGTTTCATTTTCATATATTTATATTAAATTAATCGTGCCTTAAAAAAATATTTCCCACTACTCTATTTTCTCTTTAGTTTCAGATTTTGAAATCTGGCCAGAAATATGGTGAATTTCATTATATTCTGGTACTTTTCACCATAGAGATTTCTCAGTGAGCCTGAAACTATAGACACATATTTAATAAATAATTAACATTAAAAAAAATTAAAACCTAATTCTCTTTTAACAGTTAGTCAATTAAATTTGCTTTTGAGAACGCTTCAGCAAGCTTGTCAAAATTCATAGCTTTAGTTAGAAAATGCGCCATCATTTCTATGAATTTATTATACTAAACTTCAATATTTGTTTTCATACAGTATGCTTAATGCGATTAAATTATAATCTCGCATAGTTAAACACAGAAAACTACATATATTTGTTAAAAGTTTTATAGTTTTTAGTTGGAATCGGCTCAAAAATAAATCACTACAAAGAAAATGAAGAATATGGATTTTGCCAAAATAAAAAAATTATAATATTTTTGACCCAGAAAAATTATAATTTAATTGCACAATTCATCAAATGCATAAAAATTAACTGTTTCGAACAGTTTAAGCATTCATTTTATTGTATGTGTAAAAACAGGCGATATCCATCTCCATATAGTTACTTGAATTGTGCTGACTTTCAAAACGGATTCTGGTCTTTTATAGGTAAAGTTTTTCACTATATAATATTATTTTTTCCCTATTTTTTGCATAATGTAAGGGAGAAAAAAAATGAAACTGAGATTTCAGATGAGTGATGAGTAATTAACCATGTCGACATTTCGGTCACTTAGCAATGATTGAACTCTTAGACTTGCTGGAATGATGTGATGCAATAAGTGAAGATGGAGATGATTTGGAAAAGTATCGATTTTGTCTCAAGGACAGAGTTTGGAAGCAGAAGGTCGGGAGAAAAAGTACAAAAGAAAGAAAAGTTTTCTTACACAATTTTATATGTATATATAAAAAATTTATGTAATTTTACTGTAAATTGTTACAATTTTTGCTCTTTGGTAATCTAGAGAAAAATTTTAAATTTTAACATTTGAAAATTTATAATCGCGGAAGACCTAACCTTTAATTTTTTTTATATCATACGATCTGAAATATACAGGGTGACAAAAATAAACTGACCACTCTGA